GCATTTAAGAGAAAAAGAAGCCCTGCACACTGGATCACATCTACGGCGTCGGATGTCATCAAGACCAGTGCAGGTTGCACAGGATGCCATAGATACGGACCAAAAGGATATCCCGCCGAGGAAATTGCTCATGCTCTGCACCTACAACGCCAGAACAATCTCCACCAAAGCTGATCTTCACGCCCTTCTCGAAGCTGCAGGGCTCATCAACTACCACATAACCACCTTGCAGAAAACAAAGTGCAGGAAGACGGACGTGAGGCAGCTGAGTAATGACACACTCATCATCGTGGTAAGGAACTTCTATCACGTTAAAGGCATTGGATTTGTCGTACACCCATCTGTTGTCCATCATATCCACTGGCATGAGATCCTATCACCTCGCCTGGCCATCCTTCGACTCTGCCCTCTGCATCAGAAAAGCACTACTATCATCAACTGTATTTCCCAACATCGCAGCTGATGACTCGGAACTGTTTTTATGAGGAACTGAAAGAGAGGAGGTCATCCGCAAAGTAGTCCTTCTACAAATTTGTCATGACTGACTTCGATGCAGAGATCGGTACTCAAAAGAAGGGGAGCACATGGTTCGGGAGATTTGGATCAGGACCCCGGATTGAAAATGTAACTGTCTTGTTGAGTTCTTATTCGCCACACGATTTTTTTCATGGCAACTCCATCTTCATGAAGAAAGAAATCGGCGGTGAATATGGGAGTTACCCATCGGAACGACTCATGCGGAGATAGACCACATTTTTACTAAGCAAAGGTGGTGCTTACTAGACGTCTGAGTGGTACCATCTTTCAGCAATGATTCAGATCTCCGCCTCCTTCGAGCAGATTGCGATTCAGCAAAGTTGGAAAAGAAGATATCTCACTGTGTTGAAGGAAGAAGAAAAGTCGTATATAATCCAGATTGGGGGAGCTCCTATCCACTTGTAGCTGGCCCATCGAGGAGGACCCAGCGAAAGACTGCAATTGCTTCTCAGAGTACTGAGGGCCGGTGATGAACATGTCTGACTGCCTCAAGGCAACTGGAACGAATTTCGAAAGTTATCAAGGATCTGCCAGAGAAGAGAAGAGCGCTGAGGAGGATTTGACTGCATCACATCTCAAGCGACTAGTAGCCAATACCAGTTGCAGAACAGCTTTGCGAAAAAAATCTTTGAAAGGAGAGGAGAAACTTTTGGAAGCAGCTCAAAAACGGAAAAGTCTAAAAAAGTACCGCAGGGGTCTTCTCGACTACCGTTTCCGCTGACAGCATTACTAAACGAAGAAGGGACCTGCCCTCTTCCCGACAGAATATTGAATCGATCGCGAAGCGATTCTACACCGACTTCTTCCGCTCATCAACAGCCGTTATCCCCACTAGAGAAATGCCACCATGGATTCAACCTGCTGAAGTAGGCGCCGCAACCCAGACCATGAAGGCAGCCACGGCTCCGGGACCGGACCACGTTTCGGCCGACCAGTGGAGAAGCTCCCGAACAACCCTCCTTCATAAAAAAGGCAACAGGGAAGATCCTTGGAACTAACGTCCAATAGGCGCTTTACAAGCTTTTCACGAAGATTATCCCCACTTGCATATCAAGGACACTGGATAGCGCCATACTTGTAGAACAGCTGTATTCCGTGGATTCAGCTGCGTGGCATCACATTCAGATGGTTTTGACGATTATGAGATCGAGAGCATCGCCTTCCTCTTGCTCTAACCTTCGTCGACTATGAGAAAGCATTTGAGCGTCGAGAATGCCGTACTGTTAGCGCTAGTCGACCAAAGGGTGAACTCATCTTACGAGAGGACTTTGGTCGACTGCTACGAGAACTCGAGCTCTAACACGGTACAGCTCTTCCATCGCCTCTTTAACATACCATTTCGAAGGGAGTTCGACAAGGCGACACCGGTCGCCAAAGCTGTTTAGCGCCGCTTTGCAGCGGATGATGAATTCACTAGATTGGAACGAGAGAGGTATACGAGATGATGGGCGATTTTTCTCGAACCTTCGTATTGCACCCGTGTTGTTCTCTTTTCGAGGGATAACACTGATGCGAAGACGATGCTGAGTTAACTAAACGAAGTAGGGAAGCGGATAGGACTGCGTATTAATCGGGAGAAGACTCCATGAAGAACGCATTTTGCAAGGGTAAGGAATTGGAATTAGAAGGCTCTATAATCGCGGAGGTCTTCTTACATATAACTCGGGCGTTCGATGAACATGGAGAACGATTGAAAGAGGAACTAAATAGGAGGAGAGCAGCTTGGGCCGCCTTCAGGCCCCTGAAGGAAACCACAGACCAGGTGACGGATCCAGAGCTCCGAGCCCACCAGTTCGATTCAACTGTTCTCCTTGCGTTCTGTTAGCAGCAGAGACATGGCCTGACACTCCGAACAACCTACAGAGCGCTGGAACAACTGAAGTACAAC